CCCAGGCTGGTCTCAAACTCACAGCAATCCTCCTGCCTCAGCCTCCCGAGTGCTGGGATTACAGGTGTGCAACACCACACCCAGCTTATTAGTATTCTTATGATAAAGTATAAATGGTTTCATTGGCCCCCAACCCTGATATTATTATATTTTCCAATGTGTTTAAAACTAAATTAATACCTTGTGGTTTTACAGACTTTTATTTAGCCTAAATGTCTTTTCAGTCTGGTTGCTGCTCAGAAATGAAACAACTTTTGTACCTTTGGCAATGACTGTTGCTTCCAACTTGTAGTCTGTTTTTTGAGAAGTTTATGGCTCTAGCTTTATAATGCTCAGTCCCTGGGAAAGTGTGCATGTCCTGTCTGTCCCCTTGAACACTCTCCCAGCCCATACACTTACATGCACATAAATGCAGGCAGCTAATGATATATTCCAGTTATAAATTTGTGTAACTGTAGTAATCATTTTTGTTTCTTCTCATTTAAGTTTCTAATAGTCTTAAGTTTCAACAAATGTGCTTTGGACCTCTCAGCTGAAAAACCTTCACCCACATTTCCATTTAATTTTCTGCCTCTATTTTAATCCATTTCTTCTTGCTCTGGAAAATCATTCATGCTTTCATTCAAAGACTAAGTAAGGATTCTTAAGCTAATAATTACCCCAAATTAAACTATAGGATTAAAAGTGACTATCAAATGTTCTTTTGGTCTTTTCTTACAGTTTAGCACTTTATTGTTTTTATTTATTTATTTATTTTGGTACTTAGGGATTGAACTCGGATCCTTGTGCTTGCAAGTCAGGCCACCAAACTGCTGAGCTAAATCCCCAGCCACATTCTTACAGTTTATATAAGTATCTTTAGAGCTTGATTTAGTGCTATTCTGTTTTCTAGATTGTTCTACTTGTATGTCCTACAGGATTCATAAATGTAACATGTCCCAAAAACTGAACTCATGATCTTGGAAAGTCCTGCATCTTCCCACCCATCCATCTGTCCATCCATCCATCCATCTAGCTAGCTAGCTATCCCTCCCTCGCTCCCTTCCTCCTTCCCTCCTTCCCCCTTTTCCCTCCCTTCTCTTTCTTCCTCCCCCCTCCTCTTCTTCTTTTTTCCTAGGAATTGAATTCTTAAAACTGTTTCTTTTCTTTTTATGCTACCTAGCTGTTTTCAGGTCCCCATCATCTTAGACCACTGTCTTAAAATCTGTTCACAGAACCCCTAAAGTTTTCTTTAAAACAAAGATTGAAGTGTTTGCAGCTTAAAACTATAGTATTTGCTGTCATCTGATTCCTGCGACCTTCCCTATCAAGACCCTGTTCTCTTTTTCTATATTCTGGCCACTCAGTGAACTCATTGTCTTACATATGTAAACATACCCACTTTGTGTTGTCTCTTCCAAATTTATACATTGTAGAACAGGATGCCAGTATATCTTAACAGCTACCTTTCAACTGTTTCTTATCCTTTAAGACTTCGCTCTGTAATTCTTCCAGAAAGCCTTTCTAGAGCTCTGAGTCCCTTAATTATCCTTACAGAATTATGTGTCCTTTTTTTTTTTTTTCTTTTTATTGATTCAGATGACTGCAGAACCTGGAAAAGCTGTTGCTGCTATCGATGCATAACATACTACTATTAGTCTTTATACACACACACACACACACACACACACACACACACACATATATAAATTGAATTTTGGGAAACTAACGGTGCTGCCAACTTTGGAAAAAGTCATCCCAATTTACTATGTGTCCTTTCTTTTACCTGCGTAACATTCCGTTGCCATCATTCTCGTATTGTATTTACTGTTTTCATTGTCCCTGTGCATATCCCCCAGAGTTTTGAACTCCTTGGTGTCAGTGGCTGCCTTGTACACAAACTTTTATAAATGCAATTACAGTGAAAGGATTACAGTTAAAGTCCTGAGTAAATACTTAATGGCTGGGTGGATAATGAATATATACTAGTTTAGGCAAGGAGAGGTGATTAGCATATGCTGGAGAAAAGGACTATCCAGGTATGAAAGTGCAGAAAGAGTAAAAGTACTTGGTTTAGAAGTTTAGAACAAATAAGCACCGAAAATGAAGTTTGGGGTATAAGGTAATGAGCCTAGACTGATAGATAAGGCCTATAACAAAAGGTTTGTACGTCTTGCTAAGAAACTTGGCTTTATCCAGAGGGCAGTGGAGTGCCATTAAAGAATTTTAAGCTGAGTGACAGGCAGATTTAAGAAGCTTGTGTTTTTTCCATTTTAACATCTGGTGATGTATCTTAACAATTGATAGTGTTCTATAGTTCTCATAAACACTTGGTTCTCTCTAGTGTACTTCAAATAATGGTGTATATTACAGCTGATCTTACATTAATCTCAAAGGCATGCTTTACAGTGATGATTCTGGCACAGTGTAGAGAATGCTTTAGAACAGGATAAAACTACAAGAAGGAGAATAGTGATAAACAACATAATCCAGAGGAGAAATCTGAGACAGTTATGGGGAAGAATTCAGTCAGTCATCTCATACTAAGTGCTTTCTGTGTGGAAGGTCCAGTGCTGACTAAGCATGCGGGGTATCCAGGTAGAATTACAGGTGATTGTAAGTGGTGATACAGATTGTGATGGAAATAAAAGAGGCAGTGAGATAGTAAGCTAAGCTTTTGAGCTGAAACTTATATTGAGGATAAACATTCCATGTGAAGAACATTCTAGTAGAACAGCAAGTGTAAAAGCTTGGGTACAAAAAGGAATATCATGCCAGGCATGATGGCACATGCCTGTAATCCCAGCACTCGGGAGGCTGAGGCAGGAGGATCCACTGTGAGTTCAAGACCAGCCTGGACTACATAGTGAGTTCCAGGTCAGTCTCAACTACGTAGTGAGACCCTGTCTCAAAAAAAAAAAAAAAAACACCAAAAACAAACAAACAAAAAGGAATATCAAAAAAGAATCTTGCTTGAGTTACTACTGTAATATAAAACAATGAAGGCACTCACCTTGACTCTTACCACATACTGTATAAGTCAAAATGGATTGCAGATTTCAATGTAAGGGGGAAAGGTAAAATTTACGTAAGAAAATTTAAGAGATATCTTAATGACCTGCAGTTGGGCACTGTGGGGAGAGTAGGAGATTGGACTCAGTACCTTGCACATACTAGACAGTTGCTCTCCCACTTTGTCTCTGGCCCCAAAGATTTTCTGAGTAGTACATAGACTAGCACAAAATCCATCAAAATTAATTTAAATTAAAAGATATATAGCAAAATAATATCTGTACTTAACGTCCTTTGTGTGGTTTCATACCTCCAGATTTTAATTTCTTTCATAAGTGACTACAGTTATGAGAGTTTAAAGCTAAAGATTGGTCATTTTCAATATAGTTGATAATTTTCAATCTTACTTTTTCTTTGTTTTTGCAGTACTGGGAATTTTACCCGGGCCTTGCATATTCCAGACAGGCATTCTTCCACTGAACCACATATACCTCTAGACCCCATACAATGTCTTTGAAACCTACCTTTTCACTCCATCAACACGTTTATGTTTTTTTAATTTGTTTGCAATTTTTCAGTCATTTTACATAATGCAGATCATTCACATAGTACTTTCACAACCATTTCTGTGGGTTATAAAAATTTTTATTACTCTATGAAATAAACCATATAAGCTTCATAAACCATAATAAACCACACAAGCTCACTAGTTGGAAACTTTTTATTGAATAACAAAAAGGAAGCTATTATATATACATATACCTTGAAATGACTAGTCAAGAGATGTATTATCTTTTTAGAATAATTGTCTTAGGTCTGAATAGAGAGCTTTCTGAGACCAATTAGAAGTGCAGCCATGTGCTGCCATTTAATCATATGTCAGTGAATAATAATTCCACAAGATACAAGATGCATTATTTTGCATGTGTAATTCATTGGAATTAAATAAAATGACATCGTTGTGCAACCATGGAAACTCTGTACCCATTAATAATACAAATAGACACAGTAGCACAGGCCTACAATCCCAGCTACCTAGGAGGATGAGGCAGGATGATCACAAGTTCAAGGCCAGCCTGGGCAACTTAGCAAAATTGTATCTCAAAAAGAAAAAAAAAAAAAAAGTAATAAAAGAAAAAACTATTCTTCCTTCTCCGCCCCAGCAACCACTGTTCTGTTTTCTATTTCTATTAGTTTGGCTAGTCTGGATTCCTCATTTAAATGTAATCATGCAATATTTGTCCTTTTGTGACTGTCTTATTTTACATAGCAGAATGTCATTAAAGTTCATCCATATAGTATACAGCTGCATAACATCCCACTTTATGTACATACCACATTTGGTTATATATTCATCTGTCAGTGGATATTTGGATTGTTCTTACCTTTTAGCCATTGTGAATAATGCTGTTATGAACATTGGTATACAAATATCTGTTCAACGCTCTGCTTTAAAATCTTCTACAAATATTTCCAGAAGTGTAATTGTTGGATCATATTCTTTTTTTTTTTTTTTTTGGGTGCTGGGACCTTGCACTTGGGAGGCAGATGTGGTGCCACTGAGCTAAATCCTTGGCCCTATATTTAAATTCTTGAGAAGACATCATAATGTTTTGTGTAGAGGCAGCACCATTTTATATTCTTGCTAGTAGTATACAGAGTTTCATTTTCTCCACATCTCTGCCAATATCCCCCCACCCATTTTTGTTTATAATAGCTATCCTAATGGGTATGATTGTTTTTGGTTTTTGGAAGATGAGTTTGAGAGTAGCCTGCTTACGAGTTCTAAACACTAATGGATTTAATTTTTTTGTTGTTGTTGGTTTTTTTGTTATTTTGAAACAGGCTGGTCTCAAACTCACAGCCATCCTCCTGTCTCAGCCTCCCGAGTGCTGGGATTACAGGCATGCGCCACCACACCCAGCTAGATATAATTTTTTAAACCCTGATCTTTGGAGGATATTTGAAATTAGGGGAAAAACATTTTTTTTTTTCTTGACTACCTTTAGGACAGCCAAGCCTTCGAGAAGCTATTTCCATGTCCTGTATACCCAATGGAAGTGGTGCAAACAGAAAACCAACTCACACCAGCTCTGTCTCGATTGCAAGAAAAGAAACTCTATCATCTGCTGCTAAAAGGTACCCATTTATAAGGGGGGAAAATAGTAATGTTGCAAAATGTATGAGCCTGATAAATCAGTCTACTTTTAAAGAAAATAAGAAATAGAGCTGTATGAGAGTCAAATGAATATATCCTTTTAATTTTTTGTGAATGAGATCTATAGTCTGTGCACAGTTGATGTTACACTTTTTGAGTTTTAGTATGGAAGCTTTTTGTTTTTACTAAAAAGAACAATTTCACTTTCTGATTTTTTTTTTACTTTGTTTCTCTTCAGCAAAAATTTATTTATAACTATCACTATTTAATAAAATTATGTGAGTTTTCCTTAGCAAGTAATGTATTTGATATAGCATTTTAAAAGGGAAAATAGAATCTTTGGTATAGATATACCTTAGTGGGAGGCTAAATGCTAAAAAAATTTTCTTCCGCCATAAGACTTGATAAAGTTAAGGCCTAACTCAGGATATTATATTAATGTGTTGTGTGTCTGTTTGTGTCTGCATGTTAGAAGATGTTGGACAGAAAGCTGTGGAATATAAAAGCTTCAGTGGAGTATAGATTTGGATTCTATATACAATATCCTGTTCAGTTAATTAATGGGAATTAGTTCCCAATAAAACTGGTTGTAGAACTTTGACCTTTTTTTTTGAACTTAGAGCAAGTTATCTTAAGAGACCATAAGCTAACAATTTTATAATCTTAAATAGTTTTCTTCAAACTGCATGAGACATAAATCCTTAAGAGAATAATGTGTAACAGTGTACTGAAAACGCCTACCTCAGTAAACTAATGCCAGTGAATGAATTTTTCATAGTGTGAACTTAACGTATTTAACCAAACAGGTGACTACCAGAATGGTGAAGAAATAAGATCTTCAGTAATTTAAAAATTTCTTCTAGATTTAACATTTTAAGTCATTGTTACAGAATCTAGACTTTATCTTTCAAAGAATGCTAAAGGTAGGTCCTGAGCTCCACTTTTAGTTTTTTGTTTTTTGTTTTTGTTTTTTTTTGTACTGGGGATTGAACTCAGGTGCTGGAACCACTGAGCTAAATCCCCAGCCCCTGAGCTCCACTTTTAGAAAGAAGGAACAAATTATAAGTTAAACAAATTAAAAGTAGGAAATTTTAATACCACTTTTTTAAAATTTCCACACTGTATCTAGTAACAGTTCGGATTCACCTGAGGGTTTTACATAGCTATTGTGTTGTTTCTGTGTGTGGTGATCAGTACTGGGCAGAATAGTGTGAGTGAGTAAATCTAAGACCAGCTGAGTTTGTTACTATATAATGCAGGGGCTGTGTATTTTGCTTTTAAGTAACCTAGAAGAAAAGTTCTTATAAGTTGTCCTGGGCCCACATGAAATTAGTTGTCCATGCATTCAAGATAGTTTGAAGACCGACAAGAAAAAGGTACCCTCCAATTCTGTTTTGGTTTTTTATTCAAAGTTTTTAATTTCAAAGTTCCTCTAATATTTTTGAAGTAAAAATTTCTTAGCACACACTTATAAAAAATTTAACATGAAGTTAATAATCAGTGGCTGCTGTGAAGTCAGAAGGTATTAGAACTGAATCAGATTAGAAATGTCCCTGCCAAAATGATAACTTTTTTTTTTTTTTGGTACCGGGAATCAAACTTGGGACCTTATGCTTGGGAGGCAGGCTATGGCACCATTGAGCTAAATCCTTGGCCCTGTTTTAACATTTTTAACCAGTATATGATAAATTGTGTATACTGTGTATATTTGTTTAAGATGTTTTTGGAATCCCCTGGCCCTGTTACAAACATTTTTAACTAGTGTATGATAAATTGTGTATATTATGTATATTTGTTGAAGGTGTTTTTTGAAACTTACGTCCTCATTAATTATATACCTTATGGTAAAATTACAAAATGTGCTTTAAGAAGTATAGGCAGTTGGTAGTTTTCTGCCTTTTCAGCACTGGAATGAAGTCTTAATCCCATGTATTATAATATTGTCAAGAATGTTTGTGCCATCTAAGTACTCTTGTTTTCTGATACAGTTAGGAATGGAAGGTAGTTCACTGTTGAGTCAAAGTGTATACCCATACATACGTTAAATATAATTAAAAGCAAAGCTTTCAACCCCCTTTCTAAACCTGAATCTCTGATCAAATTCCATATTGACTCTTGAATAAAATATGCCCATAAATAAATTTTCATAGTTATCCCCCCCCCCGTACTGGGGATCAATCTCCATACCTTGCACTTGTGAGGCAGGTGCTGGCACCACTGAACTAAATCCCCAGCCCTCTTGTTTTATTTTTAAGGGAAGAGTAAGAAATCTAAAACCTGGTAAAATGATACAATAATTAGAACCCATCACTTTTTCTATGATTTAAAGAAAAAAGTGTCACTTCAGTTTAATAATTTTCTAAATGTGTAAGTCATGTGTAATCATTCAGTCTAGTTTTCCTAGAACTTTAGAACTTGTGATTCTTGTTCCTATGTATATTTTATCCATTTTCTTCATATTTACTTAACTTAATCAAAATAACTTACATAAACAAGTTTGGGAAAACAAACTCTTGGGTAACCTCAGTGATGAGGCTGAGGCTGTAGCTCAGTGGTAGAGAGTTCGCTTGGCCTGTGGAAGGCCCTGAGTTAGATCCCTGGCCCTGCCAAAAAATCACGAGGAGGGGTGGAGGATTGCTGGGAGCTGAAGTGTGTGGAGGAAATAGGGAGTAATATTTTAAGCATTGAACATTAGTACTTTGGACATCTAGCATTTATTTTGCACAGGTAATGGAGAGTGTCACTAGTCTTCTAATTTGAGTAAGTTGAGGTCTTCGTTTTCTAAAATTTACTTAGATGGCAGAATTCACTTCAGTCTTTATTGAAGATTTTAATAGCGTCCAGAATTTTCAAAGAAATATTTTTCCTTATTTGATAAAAGCAGTATAAACCATATTAGCTGTATGATTTAGAAATTTAAATTATATAATAATCACTTTCAATCATTTGATTTTTTTTTCATTTGTTTAAATCTGTGTTATTCCATGTCATACTTTATTTTACAGTGGTACAGAAAAAAAGAAAGAAAAACCACAAGGACAGAGAGAAAAAAAAGAGGAATCTCATTCTAATGATCACAGTCCACAAACTCGAGCATCACCTTCTCCCCAGCCCTCTTCACAACCTCTCCAAATATACAGACAAACTCCAGAAAGCAAGAATTCTGCTCCCACTAAAAGGTTTTAACTGTCCCCGAGTACAGAGCCAGGGAATGGTTGTAAAGATACCTAAATTCTGTGACTTGGGTAAAAGTTGGCTATCCATGGAATCTGAGAGAGAAGCCTGATGGCTTTTTTTTCTTCTTTGTTGTTGTAATCTGCATTTTAGCACATTGTGAAATAAAGATTTAAGGTCAGAATTTCTTAGGGTTAGGGAAAAGAAATTACATTGTAAATAGTCTGGTGAAAGGCACAAATTGCCTATTTAAAAATGAAGACAATATTTTCATAAAGTACAGAATACTTTTAAATTTATATATGGTTATGTATAAGCTTGTAGCCATGGATAAAAAATGGCCATATGTCATTATCCTCACCACATTTTGGCATCATTACAACCTTCAACTTGCAGGGGCCTTCTCAACAAATAGCTTTTTGTTGTGGCTGCATCTCAGTTTCAGTTTTGGGTCTTGGGAGGATAAGTTCTTGCTTGATTAGAGAAATGAATCCATTTCGCCTGGTCTTGTCTATGCAAAGACTTGCTTGAGGGCTTCTGGGTCCATAATAATTAATATTTTCAAGTTATAAGAGGGGGAGAAGGGAAGAACATTCTAACTGTATGTGAGCCAAAATTGAGGATCTAAACCTGCATGCTGGGAGTTCACTGCTACAGCTACCTTATAATCAGATACTGAGACCAACTTAATTAAATTTGCCTGTTTTAGATATGCTGTTCAAGTTTTATCATTAGATATTCTTTTTAATCGTTATACTTCTGCTTAGAAATCTCAGGAAACTTACTAAACCACTCCCAGAACTCCAGAACTAGCTAGCATTTTAATAAAATACGTGACAACCATTCCTGAAAGATTTATAATACATTTTTATTTGACCAACTTAATATTTTGCGCCAAGTCTGTAATGGAAATTTGGGAAACTAAAATACCCTTCACTTGTGCTCGCTTTGACAGCACATATACAAAATACCCTTCACTTGACTGATGTACGTTTACCATTTACAAAATGCTTTGTCTGTGTCTTACACAGATTTTATGCTAAGTGGTTTTTAATTCTTCTTCCTGGTCTCTTGTGGAATTCTTGCATATAACCTATTGATGTTACGCAGCTTTGGATTGTGTATGGTTAAAGGTGGCTTTTTTATATAATCAATCTCTTTAAGGTTCCGATTTGACTTGGTGTCTTCTTTCTCCAGAATCTTTTTTTCAGCTTCTTGAGGTCTCCTGGAAATATGCTTACTCTTCTAAATTGCCCTTTGGATATACTATTGCAAGAAGTATTGAAGACTGGATGAGTTTTAGGATAGTTAACAATGCAACCAAAAAGTAATTTATAAATAAAAAATTTCAGTTGTAAATATTAGGAATCAGCATTGGTAATGTCACTTTTTATGTCAAGGCTTATTTTAGATCAGGGATAAAATTGTCTCAAGATGTAAACATGAGTTTCACTTTTACTCTTATCATTTAGGAATTGTCATCTGTACCACATAATTTAATTACATGAGGACATAATTACATACAAAACGAAAATTGCAGCCTTAGAATTCAGTAGTTATGAGAAAATTCCAATTTTTGTTAACTACAAGTTATGAGAGAACAAGGAGTGGTAGCACACTCTTGTGATCCCAGCACTCTGGGAGGGTGACGACCGGAGGATCACAGCCTGGGCAGTTTAGCAACACCTTGTCTGAAATTAAAAAAAGTCTGGGAATGCAGCTCAGTGCAGAGGCCCTGGGTTTAATCTCCAGCACTACCAGAAGAGAGAAATATTCCCAGAAGATGTAAGCAAATATGTTATTTCTGATAACAGTAAAAAAAAAAAAAAAAAGTATCGCTTTCTTTTTGTCAGATAGTATTGTTCTAGTGACTTTTCTGAATAATAATGAAAATTATAAAACAGACTTGCTTATTGCCTTGTTTAACTCCTTTACTCATCCAGGCAAAGCCTTTCAACTAATCCTTCCTTTTCTTTTCTGGATTAGCTTTAAGAAAGTGTTAATTGCTGCTTTTGTGTTCTTTTTAAACTGTCACTTACATGTCAGTGCTACTTAGAATCTTTCTCTAAGAAATTAATATGTTTTTCCTAGTATAAAACGACCAACAGCCGAAAAGTTACATAATTCATGGGAAAATTCAGATGATAGCCGTAACAAATTATTGAAAACACCTTCAGCATCAAAATTAATATCAAAAGTCACAAAAAATACAGACAGGTAAGTAATACTTTTTTACATCTGCAAATTGTATTCATATATATAATTTTATATAGATAGATATCTGCTGAGAATTTTTTAAATTATAATTTATGTAATTTTTTTTCTTCTAAAATCTGAGAAAAACTTGTCTTCCTGTTAATACTCTCCAAGTCAAGTAATCTCAATAATCTTGTAAGATTTGGATGCTTTTCTTATGTTCTTTTTATGCTTTCACATGTTTAAGTGGTCTTGTAGGCTAGTCATTGTTTTGTAAAGTTGATACCAGAGAGAAATTACAAAATGTGATATCTGAATTTCATCTCTAGATTTATCTAAGGTGTGGGCAAAGACATTGAAGTTTGCATTTTCTTCAGATGACTCTAATGTTCAGCCACATAAAATTATAAAATAAATATATTTTTAATTCCTTTTTAGGCATAAAGACGTCATCATCAACCAAGGTAAATTGAGTATCTTTTTCAAATATTTATTTTGTTTTTTGTGCATATGTTTAATTTTTTTAAACTGATAAGAATGTGAACTTACTTTCAGTCAGTATATCTTATTAGCTCATAGTAATCAGAGACATGTATTTCTGTAGTTATTTAAGAAAATACTCAGTTTTTTGGTAAGATATGTTATTTTTGTCTCAACTAGCAAAAATGGCAACCATGATAAAAACAGCCAAGGTAAGAATAAGCTACACAGTTAGTTGTCTTCTAAATTAATTTTTCTTGGATCTCTTATCTGGCTTTTCATTACTACTACTATCCGACTTTCCTTTTAACAAAGAAGATGTGGTGGTTGGAACTAGTGAATCCAAGTGGCTTTAAAGAAATCCATCTTCTGTCACCTGTGAAGATTTAAGATGATCAGTAAAAGTAAATACAGCTTTACAGAAGGATAAAATGTTTTCTCCCTTTTAAAAAAAAGTTATACTTAGAAAAGCCATTTAAAAGATTAATAAATTTTAACTTGAGTTCCTGTCTTTCCAACTTCATTGCAAATAATCACTTATTTCTCGACACAAGACTAAAAATATGATGAGTCTAGCAAACCTTCCTCTTAAATTTTTTTTATATCTATTATTATTTGTAGCTACTTTCTATTGTTGGCTTGTTCTGACCACAAAAGAACAGACTTTCCAAAAAAAAAAAAAACAGACTTTCTGTAAATGTACATTTAACTTAATTGCAAAGTAGGTAAATTTCATAATGTTTTACATTGCCTGCAAGTTTAATTGAAGCATGCTGTTCCAAGTGGAAGCATATCTTTTCTGTGCATGCTTTTCACAGCTCATTTTTATAGGTCATTGTTATCTTTGTTTTCTGGGCTATTAGCCAGCTAAATTGTAGGGTTTGTTTGTTTTTTTTCATACTGGAATCAAACTCAGGACCTTGTGCTTACAAGGCAGGCAGCGGAACCACTGAGCTAAATCCCCAGCCCTGTGGTTAGAATATTTGTTAGACATTTGACTTTATTTCTGTGGTTTTTTACTTCCATAGGTTCCAGTAAAAAGAGAAATATTTATTTTTTGTTGTCTTGAATCATTTGTACACAGAAATTATAAAAGAAGTTGAATTTTTGGTGACATTCTTCTCTGTTGGTCCTTAACTTTCTCCCATCATCAGTATGATAACTATATTAGTTACTAAAATAATTGTATTAGATAAAGTAATGAGGGCCAAGGATTTAGCTCAGTGGTTCTAACTCCTGCCGTGCAAGCTTGAGTTCGATCCCCAGTACCCCCCCAAAAAAGATTAAGTAGTGATTCAGCTACTATAAGAAAAATGAAATATTATCTACAGATATTCTTATTATATTATATATTAAAATATTTTTCTTTAAATGGTTATATAGCACAGGGACATACAGTGGACAGAGCAGTGAATGGAGCGTCTCTGTGTTTAGGGTTTGGAATTGGCTCCTCTGTATAATGCCAGGCCTAATAACAACATGTTGGAGATTTTTAACCTCAAAATAGTAACTGTAAAACTGCACAGGACTGCTAAAAGATGAAATGATATATATGAACATACTTTTTTTAAAAACACAGGAATTATAAGTGTGTACTGTTATTAAATGTGCTAAAGAGCTCAAATTTTTGTAAGATCAGTGTAAATGAGAAAGGACTGTTTGTCTTTCAATTCTGTGTTGTTTGTTCTTTGGAGAGAAAAAGGAAATTAAGATTGGTATGTGAGAATGATTTGTGTTGATGACACAGTTTTCAAAATTATTCAGGTAAACAAGTAAGTTATTTAAAAGGGGAAGGATTTTGCTGTAGAATAATCACTAAACAGGCTTTTAGTCAGTGCTTGGGAAGAAGGATGGAGTGAAAAGTTGGGAAAGTATTTTTTAAAAAAAGTTTTATTCTGTTGCTGACATTTTATCTTAAAATATTGTCCCCAATGAAAATTGATGTCAAATATTGCTTGAAATGTGAATCTGGTATAATTACTACATCTTATCTGGAGAATAAACTTTTATCATTGGAATGTGTCCACAAGAACTCTTTTTCTTCAATGTGTTGTATAGTTCAGGCCTGGTAGTGATTGAGGCAGTGGCTATAGAAAGAAATAGATAGATTCTGGATATAACTAGATAGGTAGAATGTGAAAAATAAAGAGTAGAGGGAATCTAGGAAGACTAGCTTAAACACCTAGGTAAGTGACATCTGCTGAAAAAAAAATTTTTGAGGAGTAGATAAATGGAAAAGAATGGGAATGTGGTTTGCATAATTGTCTTTCTGTTGGCTTTAAACTTAACCTACATGTAGAGATGTATAGCAAGCAACATAATAGAGATGTTTAAACACATAGATTTTGGAGTTTGGAGACTGGTTCCATCATTGAATTAGCTTTGGTGTTCCTGGGAAGGTTACTTTACCTCCCTAAGTTTTTGTTTTCTTATCTATAATTGAGATAATAAGCCTTCTATAGGTTTTTGTAAAACTTAGCCGTAAAGCATTTTAACACAGTGCCTGGCAGATACAATGAAATAAATTTTAGTTAAAAATATGAGTCCAGCAGTAAAAACTTTGCACTCAAATAGAGTAAGATGAAAAGACAACCATTAAATAATCTTCATTTGCCGTAAGTTGTAGATCTCCTTTTAAAGTTTGGTATTCGATGTGCATGGCAACTTCATAACACATTTTCGTATATTTTAGTTAAAATGCTAATATCTATATTTTTTGCAAAATCTTTAAAATATGATTTATTAATTTCTCTAGCTCTTTTTTTGACAATGACAAGTCTGACTTGTTCCAAGCCACCTGCTTTGATTTGGGAAGATTTCGGTGAGTGGTAGCAGAGAAACTGCCTAAAAGGCCTGTGTCCTTCAGACACCACAGTGGTCCAGCTCTTAGGCAGAAGACAGGAAGTAATGGTTGATAGCAGTAGGAAGTGGGATGGGATAGTCTCAGGCCAGTGCGTGGGGCTAGGTGTGAGGGGAAGGACAGACTATGCCACTAAAAAGAGGCTGGCACTAACCCAAATCTTCATCTATGCCTTGAAGCCTGAATCCTTTTTCATTACTCTTCTGCTTAATTCTGGTTCTCTTCTAGTCACAACAGAGATGAAATCCTCACACAAGTTAAAAATTGACTAAATTTTAATGTAGGACATGTCACTGTGATTATGTATCCAGTATTTCTAACATTGACCAACATTTTCTCAACTCTCCTTCCCTTCTAACTACTCCAGCCTCTACTGTACTTCTGAGAGATCACCTCTTTTAGCTTCCAGGTATGAGTGAGATGATGAGTTCCTGTCTGTGTGCCTGGCATATTTCATTTAACATAATGTCCTCCAAATGTAGTTACACTGTTGGAAATGACAGAACTTCCTTTTTTAAGTGAGAAAGAGTAGTATCTGTTTACACTTAGACAAGTTCGTATCTTGGTTGTTGTGAATATTGCCACAATAAATGTATGAGTGCAGATATCTTTTCAAGATAATTGATTTCATTTCCTTTTAATATACCCAGAATATACTGGTACAAACCCAGTCGTGGGAGTGCTAGATCTCAAAGTGCTGTTTTGTTGTCCTGTCATACGCCCCTCTGCTGTGGGGATTGAATTTAGGACCTTGTACTAGTGAGGCAGAAGTGGTGCATCCCTGGCATGCTGCAGTTTGTTAACACACAACTAATTGGTCATACTGAGAACCTGAATGGCTGAGGGCCCTATTGGAAATAAATCTGCTTAAAGAGAACACTTTCATCACTAAATTCCACTCGTACTTCCTCTCACAATACTACTTTACTACTCTTAAGATTAGAATCATTCTTGCTTAACTACCAAATCAATGAAGTAATATTCTAACTGTACAGATATATTAAAGACCAGTTAAGATATCTTGAGAAATTGAGAACTAATTGAGTATTTGTTACTAAATATATATCAAATAATACTTCTAAAGTTATGAAACTCATACTTTCTATAATCCTATGACAATTTATGTAACCAAATAGGTCAAATAATTTATAAAATTGGAGAAATAAAAAGTTCTGAATAATCTTGTTATTGTAAAAACTATTACAGTTTTGATGTTTATTCTCCTTTATCATATATATATATATATCTATATATATATATAGATATATATATAGATATATATATA